TGGCGGCTCGGCCGGTGAACCGACCGGCCTGACGGGACTCGAGCTGGCCTGGTCCGTGCCGAGCCGCGAGGCCTCGGCGTCGCATCATAACGAGGTTGGCTCGCCATTCTGGATCGAGGAATACCAAGTGGTGATCCTGTCGCAGGAGGCCAACAGACCGGCCAGCGACGCCGCCTGGCCCGGCGCTCTTGTCCGAGCTCGAAGCCGAGCTCGAACTCGAGCCCGAACAGTTCGAGCGCCGAGCTCGCCGGCGGCCAGAGCTGGGCAGAAGATGGAGGGCGGGCGGAGCAGGCCGGCGGCCAAACAGACGGCCTGGCACTACTTCCTGACGGAGACGTCGATGCAGCTCTCCAATTTGCCCGTAGGCAGCACTCTACAGATTTGGGTGAGCCAATGATGCCCCTCCTTTTCCAGCCGGGCTCGGCAGATGAGCGGATAGTGCAAGCAAAGAGAGCGTCTCCAGTTCAGGCTGGCATGGGAAATTGCTACAGACACTTTCATTTCGAGTAAATGTGACCGATGAAGAGACTTGAGGGCGATCTTACCAGAAGACGACGGCTAATTCGAGTTGTACTGCCGGCAGTTGGCTTTAATATGACATTCACGTTGACGCAGTCCACGAAACATCCTCTCTTGTTTTCTGGGGAAGATGGGCTAAGCTTTACTTCGACGAATGACGAACATTGCCGAAGGTGGTGCTCATTCTTGCAAAGATCTCAGGTTAACATTAAGTCAAGAAGGCTTACCGGCTATTTCCGTCTTGATATCTACTCTCATAATGGGAACAATCTCTTAGATATAGACGGATATAGAAATATTTGTTTTCTTTATCTTTGTTTGTGTTTGTGTCTGTGAGTATGTATGGTTGCTAACGTCTGTATGCAAAACTGGTTCTTAAGTTAGAGTATTAAAAACACATATACATATTCACAGCGAGTATGAGAAAATAGATCAATCCTTTCTGTATCCATTTAGATGTGAAAGATGTTACACTTTTTGAATGCGTATGTCAAGTAGGAAAAAGCCAATCGACCTTGTGGACTTGGTATTAGCTTGAGATTTGTGGAATAATGAGTTCCAGCTTCGATGATGTCCATCATATGAAGAACGAAAACTCATTATTGAGGATGTCTCATGGACCGCATCAAGCTGAATGTCGTAGTAAAACAAGACGCCTGCAATGCACGAGGAATCACCCACCGTCTTATGGTGAGGTCGACCTTTGAATCTATTTTTTAGCACTTTCTTACGAAATGGAAGTCTGCACAAAGATATCATTTCAGGAGATTTAGCAAAATCTAGCTAGTCTTAGTATCTATCATGTTGGTGTTTAAAAGGGGCCAAATTTGCACTTGCGAGGCTGGGTATTTTGATGTGGAAACTGGCAAGGGAAAGAGTTTATCACTAAATAGATAGTATAGTTTTTTAGCAATTGTTTGACCCGTGGCATGACTCTCCATTTCGAAGGCAACGAAAGGAGGATGTGACCATACAAAAGGCTACACCATCTTGGTTTATACACCTTCGACGTGGGTTTTTCGCTTTTCCGGCAAGCTTCCGCTGAAATGAAATGTTGGGAGACTTTCATTTTGAATGAAATTGCAGGATAAAGAGGTTTGTGGGTCAATCTCACAAAATGATGGTTAATTCTAATTGTAGTGCTATCGTTAGGCCTTAGTACAGCCTTCACATTGAAGCAGTTCACGAGACATCCTCCTTCATTTCTGATGAAAACGGGCCGAGCTTTCTTTCGACGAATGACGAGTTTCGTCAGATTTGGGACTCACTCTTGCAAAGCTCTCGAGCTAACACTAAATTAGAGGTACGAAGAGAAATTGGGTTTCGATGAATCTCTTAATATAATATTGTTAGAGGGACTTTCATTTCGCATGAAATTGAATGAAGAAGAGATCCGTTAGTCGATTTCACCAGATGAGGACGGATGAATCTCGTTGTATTGCGGCCGTTTGGCTTTTATACGATATTCATGTTGACGCAGTCCACAAGACTTCCTCCCTCGTTTCAGGTGAAAACGTGCTGAGCTTTCGTCCATCAAATGATGGACATTATCAGAGCTTGGTGTCATTCTTGCAAAGGTCTCACGTTGACACTAGGCCAAGGACATTATCCGGCTCCATCTTACTTCGTGCATAGACTCAATTGAGCCAAAATAAAATTAAAAACCATACTAGTCCTGTTACTTTTGCTCGAATGTATGCGTGTGTGTTTGTGTGCATGTTAGTGTCTTTATGCGTTTTTGAGAATAGTACCTTTCCACTGAGGAATAGCTTTTCAGATGGAGATCATTTAGTCAAAGATAGACAGACTGAGACCTTTTCCCATGTCCTAATTTTGCTGTCATGCCTTCTTGCAAAAATGATAGGCGAATTCAGAAAGAAGTGGGGCATCAAAATAGTGTCCAAAGAAGCCCTCACACTTTCTTCTGTTATGCCATCTTTTAGGCATAAATATGACCCCTTATCGAGATCCGGCTGCTACAAGATTGTTTGCTCATGTGGTCGATTTTATGTTGGTTAGACATGCCGA